GAAATTTTCGGGTGCTTTTTGGTTTGTCAGTGATGGACAATACATATGGGTGCATTTGTCACCTATAATCCCCTTGGTATGGTCGGTAGGGTCTATGAAAGCGTCCTCTCCTGCTTCCGTATCCCCATTCGGATTGGTTGTTATAGTTGTCCCTTGTCTTTCCCGTTTAGGGAGTTTGTTGCTTTCAAATATGCTTCTGTGGTTGTTGTGCCTTCTTCGTGTCACAGGTAGTTTTGGACTCTTTCACTTATTTTTTGCCTAGTGGTCGGCATCTTCCCAGGAAACGTCTTGGAAAATGTTCCAGGTAGAAGGCCATGTATGAAAGCTATAGTGACGAGATTACTGCTCTGCCCTGGAAAATATAGTGTGGCTTCGTTAAAATGTTTGAAGTAGTCCCTTATCGATTCCCCTTCATGTTGCTTACAACTAATGATTTCTCATATACCCCTAAATAAGTGAGGCAAACGTTTGTGGTGGGTTGTTTGCCATGCTGATGAATGGTGCAACTAGGGACGGTCGTGTCAACGATGTTGAGTAGATCGACTGTAAATTTGTTATTGGTTGTACATGCATGTAGGGTTACATTACTATTTGTGGTGGAATGAATGGTGGCGCGTTACTGGAGAGTAACGAAGTTGGTATTTGGGTTGTGTTTAGTGTGGAGCTATTATAGGTTGATTGTTGTTCGCTTATTGGAGTGAGTAAAGGTACCCATAACATATTTATCGAAATTCCTGATGTAGGAGCATATACGTCGGTGGAGGTTGTCGTCCGGCTTGTTTTAGTGATGACTGGGTTAAGGGATGACATTGGCCGGACATGGCTTTGCATTGTGTTGCTGGTGCCTCTTTCTCCGTCGTTCGCTATGATCGGGGTTTTGTAGTTGAGGCTATTAGTACCGATGTCTCAACAATCAGATGACGCCAAAGATATGATATTGAGTCTCTGGGATGACATTAATGATTTGGTTGTATGGGCTCTTGAGGAGATCTGAAATCACAACAAGAAACAAGTTGTTAGTCGTTCTCCGGGAGGAGGTCCCGACAGAGCGCTCCGACAGTCAAGTCAGTTTCCGATGGAGGATGGTGATAACATTAGGCTTAGAGAGTGAGGGTTCAACCCCTTTACCGTTAGAGGCTCATGGCCTTTTATAGTAGGGTGTTGGGCACAGATCCTACTCGTGGAAACATGAGCGTCAGACCTCGAGTGGGACAAGGGCACTGAGTGGTAGATCGTATCTTTGTCGCTTGCCCAAGCCGTGCTTCGCTTAACCATAATAATGGTGCGTGCACCTTCGCTGGGGTTACCAGGTGTCTGTTAGTCAGCTATCGACTTTCCTGCGCTAGTTTTGGGTTGGATCTCGGGTACCGAAAGGCAATCTATTCTAGGTTGAAATGGGCGCAAGAATGTTGGTTGGCCAAGCCATTTGACAAGCTCCTTTAGTGCTTTCTTGCGGCGTGCCCAGGACGCATGCTATCAATAATAATAATAATATAAATTTAAATTTTAAAATTTTAAGTTGGTTGATTTTTTTTTAATTTTTTTAATTTTATGAGTTTCAACGGTTACTTAACGTAAAACAAACCAATTAATAAAACTAGTGGTTTACCCGCATAAAACGGCGGAGGTGAATAGTCTCTTTTGGTGATAAGTTTCTTTTACAAAAATATTATGTTCCTGCTAAAACCCATTCTATCCCAAAATTTCTAGAACAAACTTATTTTAATTTTTAAATATGGAGTTATCACAAGGTCAAATGAAGGAGAAATTATTATCTTGAAAAACGATCAATTGTTGTTTTATGCATTAGATATTTGAGTTTCAAAGTTTGAACTATTTAGAATATAATATTATTTTATTGATATATTATTATACTTTTAGCTTAAAGATTTATAATTTTTAAAATTATATTATTATTGTATTCATTTCGTTTTAGAAAAGAAAATTCATGTTATATATATAAAATGTAGATAAGTACCAAATTTTGTTAATAGACCTATAATCTTTTTCTCTAAAGCTATATGGAATCTTAAAGATAAACTGATAGCATGTTGAAGCCTACTCAATACCAACTTACTAGTGGAATATTACCATGTCTGACAAAATTGTAAAAATAGTCCCTGTGGTTGGCAAATTTATGTGCTTTTGGTTAAAAACGAAATGTTGGTGCACTACTTGTCCAATTTTAAATACCTTGTGTGGTTTTGGTCCCTATGCTGTATTTTCTTGTGTTTTTGGTCCACATCCCACCTAAAATGACTAATATGCCCCTTAAATAATTATATTTTAATTTCTTTTATTTATTTTCTTATTCTTATAATAAAATGAAAAACAAAAACAAAATAAACCCACCTCTCTCTCTCTCTCTCTCTCTCTCTCTCTCTCTCTCTCTCTCTCTCTCTCTCTCTCTCTCTCTCTCGGATGTTATCTTCCCAGTTGGAACCATCAGCACCAAAAACAAATTCAAACCCACATCGCCACCACCAAATCTTCTGCTTGAACCTTGGCTTCACCGGCGTCGACTTTGTCAAAGCAGGCTTTTCCGATGGAGATTTTTCCAGTGTCTACATCTTCATCTCCTATGCCTTCAAGACGGTTGTCATCCCAAACCTCCATCTTCGCCCATTTCCTTCTCCATCTGCATCAACCTCCACCCAGATCGATGGAGTTGTTGATGGCTGAGTCGATTCACCACAACATTGCTTCCTGGTGAACTTAAATCTGAAAATTGAAGTCCACATCGAAATTTACACTAAAATCGAATATGAAAATCGTTTTCGATTCGGTTTCTCAAGCTTAAAATGAGACCATTATCAGACGACATTCCTCCTTGTTGAAAATGAGACTAAACTCTAACTCCGACCACCCCTGCTTGCTCTATCTCTCTCCCGTCACCACCTAGACCCACCCACATGATTTCCTTCACATTTCCCCATTTATATGTGTGGATCTTGAGAACCACAAAACCACCGATAAAGTTAAAGTTCCCTCATACCATTATCGTCATCGTCAAATCGATATATCTTCCATCATCGTTGCTAGTATCCGATCTAGGGGATGTTGATCTAAACTTCATCATCGACATGAACAGTGGTTTACAGGGGTAATGTTGGAAAAAATTTAGGGTTTCACGATGGGGGATTTGGGTGGTCCGATGAAAAGCGGAGCTCCTCTGTCGAACAATGCTAAGGCGATGGTGGTGGCGGTTGAAAACCCTAATCGTCGAAAGATGGTGGTGGCGACATTTAGGTAGGGACAGATCCAATCGATTAGAAGGGCAATGTTGATGGGGAAGTTTTATCGGGCATGAGGAAGGAAAGATGGGGGTGAGGGTGGGATTGGATGTTTATGGTAGACAATGGTGGCAGTCAATGGTGATGGTGGCGAACGGTGGTAGCAATCGGTGGTGATGGTGGCGGCCACTAGTGGTGATATGTTCTTTCTTGAGTGCGTGTGTGCGTTTTTGTTGAGAGAGAGGGAAAGAGAAATGGTGGGTAGACCCCTTTTTATTTTTTTTTTAAGTTAAAAAAATATAAATTAAATTAACATATGTGTTTCAGCAATTAAAGAAAATTAAAAATATAAGTTATAAGGGCAAAACTGTCTTTTCAAGTGTATAGGGACTAAAAACAATAGAAAGATCTAATTTTAGAGCAGTGATGCACCAACATTTGGTTTTGAATTAAAAGCACAACCATTTTGTCTACCCTATCTTTTAATTTAATTTGTGACCATCCGTGTGAAGCTGCTACATTCCTTTACTACTCTCTATCTATCTCTCTCTCTCTCTCTCTCTCTCTCTATATATATATATATATATATATATATATATATTTATATATATATATATATATTTATTCTACCCACTCACTAGCAAGTACTTGCTGGTAGAACATTATTTACTAAGGTTTGTAACTTGAAGATGTAATGATTAGGCACACCTTTACACATAAATGCATCGTGATGCATTTAGTTTACCCTCAGACCATCTCCAATCCATCTCTATTTTTTCCCCATAAATGGAGTAAAAAATAGAGTAAATAGTGTTTCATCTCCAACCCTACTCTATTTTCTACCCCATTTTTTATCCCAAAAAGTATATTATTAGAATATTCTATTTTTATAACTTATATATATTGTCAAATACACCCCTCTACTAATTAAACTCTACATTTATGATTAATTAATAAAAATTAGTATATAACATGATATTATAAATATTAAATATTGCATTTAAATTATAATTAATAAATAAAATAAACTAGAAATGTATAAAATAAAAATGAGAATGACTAAAATTGGCAACTAAACTTCACCTCCATTTTTGGAGATATGAATAGTATTCCCCCATATACTATTCATATCTCAAAAAATAGAGGTGAAAATGGGGTAGGGTTGGAGAAGAATGGGGAAAGAAATGGGGAAAAAATGGAGTTTGGGTGGGTTGGAGATGCCCTCAGTGTGTTTTACTTTGAGTATTTTGTTTAGAGCACCTGGGTATGTACCTTTTATGTATTACACCCTGTATTAAGATTCTACATTGTAAATTTCAAGCGACCCTTCCCCACTTAAAAAATAAAATACGAGTTTTCTTTAAAGAATGTGTTGCACTTTGTACACTTTGGTCATGCTTCACCCAATCTGTATCTACTTTTTGTGGAAAGGCTTTTTTCTTCGGTGGAACATGGTTGATTGCAACAACTATCCCTTGCCAATTCCAGATACTATCTTTTTCTTTAAAGTGTATACTGTTCGCTTTGTATAATTCCATCTTGCTTTGCCAGTTTATGTACAATGTCTTTTAACTTTGATCACACATTATAAATTACAACAGTACCCCCATCCTCCTGTATTTCCCATGACAACTTAGATGTCGGTGGGGGGTCTACCCATGATCATATCTTTAACTGCAGTTCTAACTAATATAATATCTTATCGTTATAGTTTATATCAGTTTGCCGCATGTAACTGTAATCAGTGTAATATTGTGTTCTATTAATAGTGAACATAACTGCTCGTTCTTCCACACAACTCCATTTTGACTCCATTTTTCTCTGATCATGGCGTCTCAGAAATCCCTCTGTTTTTTAGTGGCTTTGTTCATCAGTTTCATATGTTCTTCGCAGGCTGTCACCTTGGAAGTTGGTGACGATGATGGCTGGACCTTAAACCCTGTTGAAGACTACAATGCATGGTCGAGTAGATTGAGGTTTCTGGTCAACGATACCCTCTGTACGTCTATTTCGTGTTTGATTTCATTTTGAGTTCTTGATTATGGTTCATAATTTGGTTTTTGACTGTTTGCAGATTTCAAGTATGAAGATGCCACGGATTCTGTTTTGGTGGTGGACAAAGATGATTATGACAACTGCAATGTTGATAATGCCATCGAGAAGCTGAATGGTGGTGAATCGTATTTCAAACTTGAACAACCGGGCCCTCATTATTTCATTACTGGTAATAAATCCAATTGTGATCAAGGTCAAAAGATTATTGTGGCGGTTTTGCACATTAGAACACAATCGCCACCATCACCTCTGCGTGCTCCATCACCCCTTACACCAGCTGCGGCATCTCCTGTCACCGTAACCCCACCATCTGCAACTCCCGTTTTAACTCCACCCGCATCCACCGGAGGAAGCTCACCTTCTCCAGATGGTAGTAATCTGGAAGGCGTGAGTTCACCACGGCCATCACCATCCCGATCGTTGGCATCAACAGTGGTTTCTGGCAGCATGACTGCGTCACTTGTGACATTGATCATTGCTTTATGTTTGATTATTTGATTTTTCCAACAGGAGGTTTGATGGGTTTGATTGTGTTTTTATTAATCTTGGGGTTTTTTTTTTCTGATGTTATGTTCTATTGTTTATTATTATTTTGAATTGATATTATATTGTTTATTACTATTATTTTTTTGAATTGATGTTACGTTCTTTGACTGTGTTATAAACAATCTGGTGTTAACTTGCCAACGTAAATAAAGCTAGCACCTTCGCTAGTATAATTTAATATTTATTTTTCTTTAACTGGATGACTAGTTAGATTAAAAGTATTGTTTCATTCACATAACCGTAATATTCCACGGTATTATATGTTTCAGTTGCATTGTTAAGACTTCGATCGATCATTTATTTACACTTATGTTCGTGTTGTCATGTTTTTGTGAGCGTATCATTTTTTGGTAGGAAATTATGTTTTTTTCTTTACAAAATGCCGAATATATGTCATGGTCTCATGGATAATCAAAACTAACGTATATACAATTCTATTTAGGTCACATGACCAAAGTGTTTTCAAATCTACAAACATGTAATACGGTTACCGTATTTACAATTCTAGACATACGATTTGATACATAAAATAGAAATAAATTTTCAATTTTATACATGTAAAATCAATTAGTACATACTAAGTGATCATAGCAGGAAGCTAACCAAATTGACATATCTTGAACATACTTTCGATAATTAACATAAGAAACTCTAGATTGATTGTGTTAATTGTATTTCAAAATATAGTACATGAATGTTAAGTATGTGATCACTGTTAGAAAACAAGGGCTTTACCTACGGAAAATTTTCGTAGGTAATTATCGACGGAATGGAATGCCCTAATTTAGTAACAACGGAATAGCAACGGAAGTAATTCCTTCGGTACAGAAAATCCGTCGGTGATATGGGCAGTCAAAAATACATCGGTAACAAAGTCAATGTCAGTCAATATGGAATCTGCTGATAATTCGTAGGAAATTCGTCGCTATACTCTCCGTAGGTATTCCGTCGGTAATTTACCGACGGGGAGCTATTCCATCGGCAATATTTACCCACGAGCCATTATGTTATGATCGTTTTCTCGTCGACAATCCGTTGACATCCTCCTATTCCAAAGGAATAGCGACGGATAACGTTGTTGGTATTTCTTGATTTTCTAGTAGCGGATTGCTTACGTACCTCAAGAATCATAACATTCACTACAAGAATTTTGATCTTTAGTGGTGATGGGCGTCGCCGCTAAAGGTCCAACATGTCACCGCTAAAGGGTCACTATTGTTGGTTCATCGCTAATGCTCCACTGGTAGTCGCCATTGCTTTCTGTCCCCCCTAAAGATGTGTCGCCGCTAATGCTCCCCGTCGCGACTAACAGCATCCACAATGCATAGTTTAATGGGAGAGTTGAATGAGATGTCATACCTAATTGGCAATAAATGGATTAAACTCTACCATTATGGGAAGTCATGTTGGCATTCAATGGATATGGAGTTCAATAGCCATTGAACTCTTCAATGGAAAAAATTAAACATTTTAACTATTAAATATATATTCCATTGAATTTTATTGAGTTCAATGCATTGTAAGGAAATTAATGTAGAGTTGTATATTAAGTAAAATGATGATGTGTCAATCCATTAAACTCTAATAAGTTTTATGCATTATGGATGCCCTAAAGGTGTCACCGCTATTTATATGTATTTCTATTACTACAAATACACATATACATACATAATACACATACAAAATGCACATATACATACGAAAATACAAACACATACATATACATAAGAATACATATATATACATAGAATTGCACATACAAAAACACATATACATACATAAAATACATTCAAAATACACATATACATACAAATGCACATACAAATACAATTCCATATCTACAAACACACAATACACGTACAAATACACATCTAAAAAATCAATATTTCAGTAAGAACAGTGGTGGTGGCGGTATATTCTGGCGAGAAGGGTGACAGATCTCAAAATTCCGGCAACCATCTCAAAAGCTAGAAATTTAGTAGGAGAAGAGAAAAGGAAAATAAAAGGAGAAAAATGGAGCAAGAGGGGTGAAATTGTGAAGTTTTCTTTGAAATTCCGATGAGGTCGACGATGGTGAGCAGAGAGAAAAAGGGAAAACACAGAAGATCGGGAAAAAAAAGTGAGAGCGAAAAGTGTTTTAGTGTTGACGACCTTTAGCGGCGACGCGTACTCATTGGTGGCGACACATGGGAGGGAAAACAACGCGGGGTTTTCTACGTCATTGGATCATCGCTTAAATCGACGGATGTGATTGAAATGACGTGAATCACCAAAATAAGCGTTTAGACGTGACGCCTTTAGCGGCGACACACACTCTTTAGCGGCGACTCACTGGAGGGAAAACAACGCGAAATTTCTTATGTCATCCTAGTCATAGGATCATCTCTTAAGTCAACGGATGAGATTGAAATGACGCGGATCGCCAACAAAAGCCTTTAGCGGTGACGGATACTTTTAGCGGCGACAAAAAACGCGTTTGTTTTTTGTCGCCGCTAAAAGTCCCCGTTGCTGCTAAAGGCGTCACTACTACTGCTGGTTATTCTTGTAGTGATTGTCATGAAGTCTTGTATTTCTCTTTGAATTGGAGCTGTTAGCTTGTTCGTAAAGCGCACACAAAAACGCACACATTGTGTGTATGTACAACCTATGTGAAAACTTATTTTATACTAGAAGTAGGATAAAAAAATATACCTCTAATGTAGTTCAATCCAATGTTGTTTTATATACTACGGAAGTTGTGTATAAGGCTATCTCATAAATGTGTAATTAAAAAGGCTACGTGGCTTATAGATTTGTACGTACAATGACGTATGATCGCCTCACAAAAGATTCAATGTTCCAAGAGTGAAGGAGACACATTGACATAGGATTCCATTACATCAAATATGTTATTACCTAAGACAATATCAAAGTGACCAAGAATGACACCCACAACAAACTGCTGTCATTATGAGAAATCCAGTTCATACCGTCAATTTTGAACTTTGTTAGGATTTTGTTGGTTTTTTAAATTAAGTCCTAGGGTATTTTGAACTCTATATGTTTTATTTTTTCGTGCTTTTGGAGGTTGTTTTGTTGATGGTTGGTTTCATCTCAAGGTGCGGTTTTTTAATATGCTCCAGAAAATCAACATGCATGGGATTTATACACTTGGAAAATTGTCAATAGAATTGTTTCTACAACTTGTGTATCGAATTTCCTTAATGCAACATTTTTTCCAAGCACTAAAACTTTTATTAGGAGTCTAATTTAGTCTCAAATGTATGTATATGTATGTGTGTTGATGTTCGATAATATTTTTAATCATGTCTTTCTTCCCTTTTCCATAACAAATGATCAAATTTTGTAATTTCCTGAAGAATATCGAGTTAAATGTAGTGTTCTCCAAAGTGGGTCATCCGTCTTTTGGGTTTCCACAGTGAATTTTGTGGTTGTGTGATTGTTGTTTACGTATTTGTTCTATAGTATGTCCTAAATGTGTCATAACTAAAATTTTAGAGTAGAAAATGTTTTCTTATTGAAAATTATCAAATATGTAGAGATAAAGGGGAGTATTTATAGTAGGAAATAACAAGAATCCTAAACATACTAAAAAACAAGATAAATACTACGAATGAGATAAAGATAAACTATAATACTAATTATTTAAATCTTGAATCTGAATACTCCCTCTCAAGTTGGATTGTGTAGACCCCGAACACCCAACTTGCCACAAAAAAACTTGAACCGGTCTGCCCTAAGAGCTTTAGTAAAGATATATGGAGTTTAAAACTCATATTTGATGGAAACAGTCTTCACTTATCCATTATACACTCTTTCACATACAAAATAGAAATCCCTCTCAACGTGCTTTGTCATTTCATTATAAAATAGGTTCGCAACATTATGCCTGAAAGCTTCGTTGTCACACATAATGGGCGTAGGACCCTTTTGTTCAGCACCTAAGTCTTGTAAAATCCATCTCAACCATAAAATTTCACACACAATGATTGTCATTGATCTATACTCCGTTTCAGCTGAAGATATAGACATAGTCGTCGTTTGATTCTTTGTTCTCCATGAAATTGGAGACCCTCCGGGACTAATAAAATATCATGTGCATGACCTTCTAGTGGTATTACAGCTTAACCAACTTGCATCACAGTATACAATGAGATCTAAATTCCCAGATGAAGGAAGAAAAATACCTTGACCCAAAGTGGCTTTCAAGTAACGAAGCACTCTATGTGCTACAGTCTCCTATAATGTGAAACATTAATTTCAGGGCTTTCATTATCCTTTTGCAACTTGATGTTCTATTCCCTTGGAAAATTACATGGTTTGCATGTAGTCACCCCACAATCTTCCAGAATGTCTAGAGTATATTTTCTCTGACTAATCACAAATCCTTCTTTCAAACGGGCGACTTCAATACCAAGGAAATATGTGAGTGGACCTAAATTCGTTATACTGAAGTTGATTTGTAGATGATCTTTTACCTCATTGATTTAATGAGTATCATTTCCCATTAATAAAATGACATCGACAAAAATAAGAGCAACGATGTCAATGACATGCATCGTAAATCTAAACATTTAATGATCGAACTTGATATGTCTGAAACCAATCTCAATGAGAGCCTTCATGAATTTTTTATACCAATTTCTTGAAGTTTGTCAATGACATGCTTCTTAAACGTACCCCTTTGCTACAGGCCGAGCCATATATTTTTCGACCTCTCCATTCGGTTTATATTTTATTTTGGAAACACACTTCGAATCAATTGCTTTCTTTCCCAATGGTAGCTTCATCAAGAACCATGTTTCAGTTTCTTAAAGGGCTATAATATCCATTTTCATTGCATCGATCCATTTTGGGTCTTTCGTTGCTTGAGAAATATCTTTTGGTTCATCGCTTGAAGTTATTGCAGCTAAGAATGCCTAGTGAGATTTAAAAATTTTATTGTAATAAATAAATAAAGATAGAGGATATATACCAGTGAGTTAGTTGATGCCGAAGAGCCTGAAGTGGGAATGAATGTGGAGTTGTCGAGTGACAACGACAAATCTATCACGAAGTCTTCCAATTGTTTTGGTTTTGTACGTATTCATGTTCCTTGCCTAGTGGTTTCTTGACCAGTTTGCATGCAAGCATCATTATAATCGTGAGTAGAATCTCTTTGGGATTCACTATTGTTTAGAGAAGTGGTTGAATATAATAATGGTGAATTGAGAGCTTGTGGGTTGTCTTCATGATTGGATTGGACAGTTTCATCTAATGGATCCATGTGAATATCGACAGTTTCTTGCATATCATTCAATGCATCGACCCCATATATCAACATGTATTAAATCAAAACATTCTACTGTTTTTGAAAAGATTATTGGAATATGAAGTTTACTTTTTTTTTTTGCCGAACACAAGAATCACAAAACTGACTGCAAGTACCTATGCTTCCTAACTATTGTATCTTACGAAGGACTCCCTCTGAACTCTGCCTAAGTTTTCTATATATGCCAAATGTTGTATTTTCTCAAAACCGTCATTGTTGCTTTCTTATTTTCCACTGGCTCCAAGTAGTAGAGCCCATTACGCTCCTTTACCATCCTAATCAGGTTCTTTGAACGTAAGTCTTGTATGTAACATAGATCGGGTAAAAAGGTTAATGAGAAACCTAAATCATGTGTTATTTTGCTAACTGAAAGTAATTTACAATTAAAATCTGGCACATTCAACACATTATCAATTTAATATCTCTTTGATATTTGTATATCGCAAATTTCCTCAACTGTTACTAATTTCCCATTGGGTATAGTGACATAAGAGTTGTTATTCTTCATGGATTTTGACCATTCTATGAGATAAGTTATGTGATAACTGGCGCCCGAGTCAATGATCTAATTATGTCTACTTTCAACCTTACCGGTCATATTCACAACATGATTGGTTTTTTTCTCACTTGGTTTTGTCGACCTCAATAGTTGGAGAAGCTTCTCATAATCTTCTTTAGAGAGGTATGGAGTTTGTTGTGAAGTTTCTCCATTGACGTTTGTTGGACGAATATGTTGTTGTCAAGATTTATTTGATTGAACTTTGGATGTGTTCGATTTATTCGACCACCAATCAGGATAACCCACTAACTCAAAGCAACCTTCAATCGTATGCCTAATATTCTAACAATGTTAAAACCATTTGTCATCTTTTCTTCCGCTCCTAGTGTTTCTTTCTTCTTTCTTGGGGTTGCCTGGAGAGTTTGCTTTCGTACTTCCTTTAGAAGTGATATTGTCGTTAGTGAAGTGTAAAGTCCCAAAATTTGTAACCAAAAATTTCATTTTTTTATTAATAAATCCATCAACCAAACATGTTTATAGAAATCATAAAGGAAATCAAAGTATATTAAAAATCATCCAAAAATACATTAGAGTCAAATAGGGTGAAAAATCATGGTGTGTGTGATGCGATCATCCCGAGCTCTTTCCCTTCGAATCGGAAGTACCTGAAACATAAACTAAAAACTGTAAGCACAAAGCTTAGTGATTTCTCTAAAATACCACATACCATACATATATGTCATCTCAAGGTTATACCGGGTCTATTTCGTCCCCAGGTCTATTGCACCACCGAGTCTATTTCAACTCAATTGTCAGCTCAAGGTTGTACTGGGTCTATTTCACCCCAGGTCTATTTCACTCCCGAGTGTATTTCAAATCCATCGGTATTTTTCAACCATATGTGTCTATTTCACCAACAGGTCTATTTCACCTCACATACATATAGCAAACAGGCATACATGCATCAGGAGTCACAAAGACAACAACCACATATAACCCTAGTGTTCTACAGTATAGTAAGCAAACTCACATCCATCGGCTGATAAAAAAATAAATGCTCGGGTACTGAACCGGAGAATCACCGCATTAATCAATCAATTATAATCTTAATTAAGAATTAGGTCATAAACCATAATCGGGGATTTAAATCATTAATCTCGACTCTTAGGGTAAAAGACCATTTAACGCTTTCCCTTAATTTGCCCAAATCCTTCTAAGCCCACCGTTGGGAGTACGCTAAGTGTACCAAACTTGTACACCATGCATACTCACGCCGATCCGGATATGGGGTTCAAACCCAGTATGCGCAGCATACTCAAAATTACGCCCGACGTACTGGACAATTGACAATCCCTTATATAAATTGCTTAATCCCTTAAGACCCTAACGTCCAAACTCCATATCTACTCCAAAACAAGGTCTTAATCCATAAAGTTGGAAGCTTTAAGTTTTTGCATGGCTCAATAAGTCCCAATACCAACTTTTAACATCCTAACCCCATGAAATGAACATAAACCCTTGCATGGTTGATTTAAATCCATCAAGATACCATTTTTATGCACAAGGGACCTCAGAAACACTAAGATCTGCCATCCTAAGCTTCTAGAGTAGCTTATATTCACATGAAACAACTCAAGGGACCCAAAACATGCCAAGAACCCTAAGCTAACTTGATCTAAAAGATGAATCATTAAGGCTGAAACTTTATACCTTCTGAGACTTGCCAAGATGATGAAGATTCTGGATCTTCAAGCTCCACTCCAACCAGTCCTTGACACCAAGTTCCTTCTTCTTCAAGATTACACAAAACACCAAAAGTTTACCACCAAAGCTCAAGAACACACAAGGGAAAGCTAGGTTTTCATGGGGAGTCTTTAGAGGGAAGGAGGTTGATGAGGGGGCAGCCTCAAGGTCCATAATGTTGCTTAAATAGGGGTCAAACCCTAAAAATTAGGGTTTGTGATTTGAGTGAGTACGCCCATCGTACCAAGCGTAAGCCCAACGTACTAGATAAAATTCACGCGTTTCTTTTAAGGCTAAAAGGGACCAACTTGCAAGTAATTTACATAATGAGGGTGTAAATGGAAATACCTAAAAAATAAAATGTTACATGAAGAAAGCTACAACTTCCCCAACGGACCCTCAAGATAACCCTATCTTCTTATGTTGCTCATCTTGGCTGATTAAGTGGTATGCATTGTTTAGTGTAGGTAACGGGTCAGTGCTCAGAATTTGAGTTCTTCAAGCTACATATTCCTCTTTAAGTCGCATCAAGAAGCCATATAAAAATTCTTTTTTTCATGCCTTTATATTCTCCTTTGTGATGTTGCACGAACAAACTTGGAAGGTACATGATGGTAAAGGACTGATTTATTGTACTTTATCCCAAACACCTCTTAATTTTGAATAATATGATGAGATCGTCATGTTATCTTGCCTGATCGTTGTGATTGTTCTTCTTAGCTCAAAGGTTCTTCGGCTATTCTCCTTTTCAAACCCTTCTTCGAGGTCTAGTTATATATCATGAGCTTTAACAACATACTTGACACTACTTTTGACTTTCTTCTCTGTAGCGCTGACAAGCCATGCTCTCTTCATGGCGTTGCACCGCTTCCGGTTCATCAAATCAGGTGATCCCTCTTCTAGTATGGGAATGGAGTTATCAATGAACCCCATCTTGTTCTTGGCGAGGAGGGCGTTGGTCATCTTGTTCTTCCAATTGTTATAATTTCCATCGTGAAGCAGCTTTTCTCCAACGGAATTCAATCCCAGATGATCAAAAGATGTGAGGTAATATGGGGACGACACATCGATACTATTCTTGTTTGGTGGCGGCGGCGTTGATGCTTCACCGACAACCCTTGTTGTTGGCAAAGTTAGGTTTGTAATCCCACATGATCAAATATGTACCGATACATGGGAGTATTTATAGTAGGAAATAACAACAATCCTAAACATACTCAGAAACAAGATAAATACTACGAATGAGATAAAGATAAACTATGATACTAGTTATCTTAAATCTGGAATCTCAATATGTTATTGGGGATTACAAACAGAAAATGTAACAAACAAGAACTAAAAACATGATCTAATCACCAAATGGAGCTAAACCTATCTCCTACCATGTTAAGACTCATAAAACTGACTTTTATTAAGAATCAAAACAGAAATACAAACAAAACTTCGCTACAATATTCAATCTTTCTCAATAAATATAATCTGACTAATGTTAATACAAAGGAAGAAGATCAAATATGTATGAACAACTCTATAATAAACAAACCCTAAAACAACGAGAGAAACGAGAGTTGTGAAGATGAGTATGTGAAGGGGTGAATGTGAGAATGAGCTAAATCTCTCATTCACTCAAAATTATATACATCCGTCCAGAGAACCCGGTGCAACTCGTACCAAACCCGGAGGATCCAACCCGAGCTAAGATCTGTGTCTTTCTTTTAACTTCGAAGTTAAACGAGCCACAACCCTCAATCTTTTACTAATAGTTGCATCCTCTTGAACTTATCTTTCATCAGTTTACACTTTCTACCCTTCACTTGATATACTGCACTAAACAAGTAAACAACCTAAGTTAATAGAAATATAACTTAATGTTAACCTTGCAACCTATCAATGTTATTCTCAACACTATGGGCCGTTTTTTTTTTACCAACAAAGAAAACAGCTGATCACAATGATAATTTTGATAGTGAGTCTACATTTTAAATTTCAATTAGCCCATCCCCAATTCCAAAATATATAACTAGTTTTCTTTAAAGCCTGTGTTTCACTTTGTATACTTTCGTCATGCTTCACCCTATCTGTATCTACCTTTGTGCAATTTCTGCAACCTCTTTTTTCTTTAGTTGATTGCAACAACTAGCCCTTCCACATTCCAGATACAATCTTTTTCTTTAAAGTGTATACTGTTCACTTTGTATACTTCCATCTTGCTTTGCCAGGTGATGTACAACGTCTTTTTTCTTTGAAACATGATAAATTACAAAACTACCCTCATCCCTTTCCCTCCTGTATTTATCATGACAACTTAGGTGGTGGGGGGACTACCCAAAATCATACCTTTAACTGCATTACTAACTAATATAATATCTTACAGTTATATAACCGTAAACAGTGGAATCTTGTCTTCTATTAATAGTGAACATAACTCCTCCCTCTTCCACATAACCTAAATCCATTTGACGTACTTAGAGTTTTCTCTGATCATGGCGTCTCAGAAATCGATCTGGTTTTTAGTTGCCATGTTCATCAGTTTCTTATGTTCTTCATATGCTGTCACCTTGGAAGTTGGTGACGATGATGGGTGGACCTTAAACCCTATTGAAGACTATAATGCATGGTCCGGCAGATTGAGATTTCTGGTCAATGATACCCTGTGTACGTCTCTTTCGTGTTTGATTTCATTTTCGAGTTCTTGATTATAGTTCATAATTTTGTTTTTGACTGTTTGCAGATTTCAAGTATGAAGATGTCACGGATTCTGTTTTGGTGGTGGACAAAGATGATTACGACAACTGCAATGTTGATAATGCCATCGAGAAGCTGAATGGTGGTGAATCGTATTTCAAACTTGAACAACCGGGTCCTCATTACTTCATTACTGGTAATAAATCCAACTGTGATCAAGGTCAGAAGCTTATTGTGTCAGTTTTGCACATCAGAACCCAATCGCCACCTTCAATTCCACGTGCTCCATCAACCCTTCCACCAGCACCGTCATCTCCTCTCACAGTTGTTGGTTGGTGGAGAAAATAGGTGAAGGAAAAGGTGGTCAAAGAAGATGGCCATAGAAAATTGTTAATCAATGTAAAAGCTAGTTGGCAGTAGTCCAAATTAGTGGGTAGAATTTCAGATTACCAAAGATTGTGTTAGCCTTCATTTTTTACTAACTAGGTAGTATCTTATTGCTTTTGACTTTCTGTTTCTTTAGTGTCTATGTAAGGCTATTTATAACCCTCTGTCTATTGAATATAGTGTGCATTAAATATAACTTGTAGAGTTATAAATTGTAATCTTATTGAGTTAATAAGAAAATCTAGTTGCAGCCCGTGGACGTAGGATTTACACCGAATCCGAACCACGTAAAATCCTTGTGTTCCTTCTTGCTTTATTTTCTCGTTTCGTTTGTGAGTGTGTGATAGTGTGTTTCCGCTGCGTGTACCCGGTCCGATTCCTAACAACTGGTATCAGAGCCTCGTTAGCGAGGTTTTGGAGGGTACGATCGTTTTTCTGTCACACACGAGTGTACCTTATTTTTTTTGTTTGCCGTAATGGCTGAAGACAAGGTTATAATCGAAAGGTTCAATGGTTCTGATTTTAGCTGGTGGAAAATGCAATTAGAAGCATTGCTATGTCAGAAAGACTTGGACGTGGTACTCGGAGACAAACCGGAGAAAATGGAAAAAGCTGCTGAAGATGCGTGGAACTCAAAGGACAAGAAAGCCAAGGCGGTTATTAAATTGTCGTTGACGAAGAGCGTTGCTTTCAACATCATGAATGAAACCACGGCGCGTGGTATGATGGAGGCTCTGTCAAATATGTATGAGAAACCATCGGCGGCTAACAAGGTGTTCTTGATGAAGGAGCTGTTCACTACAAGGATGACTGAGGAAGGCTCAGTTACGGTTCACATTAACAATCTAAATTCAATTATGTCCAGATTATCATCTGTGGGAATTAAATTTGATAACGAGACTCAAGCATCACTGCTACTAGCTTCTCTACCTGATAGCTGGTCCGGAACAGTTACCGCTGTTACGAGTTCTGTGGGGACCAGTGGTATGACTTTTGAAGGGGTTAGAGATTTGGTTCTTGGCGAAGATATCAGACGCAAGAATCAAGGTGGATCTTCTTCTTCTGATTTATTAAATGTCGGAAGAGGTAGAGGGAATAGCAGGAGCAGTGGGAGTCGGGGAAAAAGTTCTTCTAGAACTTTGAAGAATGTGAAATGCTGGAACTGTCAAGAAGTGGGACATGTTAAGAGTCAATGTCCAAAGAAAGAATTGAACATTGCTGGTGCTGAGAGTGTGTCTGAGGATGATGCATTGATACTCAGTATGGAAAGTTCTGTAGACTCTTGGGTCATGGATTCAGGGGCTTCGTTTCACGCCATGGACAACGGGGAAACGATGGTGAATCTAAAAGAAGGAGATTTTGGAAAGGTACGTTTGGCAAATGACGAGATGCTTCAAGTAACGGGCATAGGAGATATTGATCTGGTTACTTCATTGGGAACTACATGGAACCTGAAGAATGTCAGGGTGATTCCGGAGCTGAAAAAGAAATTGATTTCTATTGGTCAGCTGGATAAACAAGGACTGGAAGTAAGGTTTGGTGGTGGTAAATGGAGGGTGGTCAATGATAATCTGGTGATTGCTCATGGTATGAAGTGTGGGTCATTGTATACGGTTGAGGTACCTGCTGAGGGAAGTATGACCGTCCCTGTTAAGCAAGACAAAATCTGGTTCGCTAAATCTACGGCTAAGAGAGTTCATTTTGCAAACATGAATTCTGGAGCCAAGGGGATGTTAGCTGAACGAGTTGGAAAGTCTAAACCAGTCAAGAGATTCTATGACAGTGGGAGCACGGGGCGTGTTCCGGGTACAGTTACAAAGAGCCGTTGGGTTTTGAAGACTAAGACTGAAAAATTCTCTCCTGTTGGAAGTTTGCTAAGTTTGGAGAGTGTTAGTGGTCCTCGGTGTATCTCTGGATCCGATGGAGTGTCCAAACCGGTTGAGACAGAGGATGAGTCGGTGGTGGGATTAGCCACGGCTGAGTTAGAGCTAGTGGGAACTTCAACTGGCCCTTCTAGATAATGATGAGGGGCGGCTGCAATTAGAGAAATTGGACTAAGTTTAGCTTGTTCTTGGGAACTGGAGGCTTGGAAGACTTGGTTGTTTTAAGATTACTGGAGAATTATTGGGTTATTTTCTCCAAGTGGGAGATTGTTGGTTGGTGGAGAAAATAGGTGAAGGAAAAGGTGGTCAAAGAAGATGGCCATAGAAAAATTGTTAATCAATGTAAAAGCTAGTTGGCAGTAGTCCAAATTAGTGGGTAGAATTTCAGATTACCAAAGATTGTGTTAGCCTTCATTTTTGACTAACTAGGTAGTATCTTATTGCTTTTGACTTTCTGTTTCTTTGGTGTCTATGTAAGGCTATTTATAACCCTCTGTCTATTGAATATAATGTGCATCAAATATAACTTGTAGAGTTATAAATTGTAATCTTATTGAGTTAATAAGAAAATCTAGTTGCAGCCCGTGGACGTAGGATTTACACCGAATCCGAACCACGTAAAATCCTTGTGTTCCTTCTTGCTTTATTTTCTCGTTTCGTTTGTGAGTGTGTGATAGTGTGTTTCCGCTGCGTGTACCCGGTCCGATTCCTAACAACAGTAACCCCACCATCTGCAACTCCAGTTTTGACTCCACCCGCATCTACAGTAGTAAGCTCACCTTCTCCGCTTGGTAGTAATCCGGCAGACAAGGCATCATCGACATCAACAGTGGTTTCTGGTACCACAGCTGCATCACTTGTGACTTTGATTATTGCTTTGTGTTCGATTATTTGATTTTTTTTATTAGGAGGTTTGATGGGTGTGATTGTTGTTTATGTTAATCGTGGGGGTATTGGCGTATCGCTGATGGATTTCACTATATTGTTTATTTTCTTGAATTGATGAATTGTTTGTTTTTTGAAATAATGTTAAGTTGTTGACTGTTTTACAAACAATCCGTTGTTGACAACATTTTCCTATCATAATTGAAGGACAAAATGGTAAAAACTGGTTAATTTGTGGTGTTTGGAAAAATTGAAAAGCTGTGGATAAATTACAAAAAATTTTCAACTCGTGTGAAGGTTTAGCATCCGGAAATTTTCGTGGTTTTGGTAACAATTAGGGCTGTTTGTTTTTCTTAAAAAAAACACTTCTAACCACTTACTTTTGGCTGCAAGTAACACTTTTTGCTGTTGTTTGTTTTTTAAACATATTGTAAGACTATTGTTTGCTAACTTAACAATTTTATTTATTGATATTTAGCAATTATTATGTTTAATTATTTTATATAAACGTTTAATTATTGTAAGACTAATTTGGCTGTATAAATTTTATTTCAATATTGTAAGACTAGAATTATTAAAATTTTGGTGTTGAAAACTATTTTGAGTTTGTAAAATCAATTTATTTAAAATTTAATTTATTGCAACAGTTTGCAGACGTTAAAAAACAAACATACTTCTTGTTACAGGATACAACCATTTGGTGCACAAATTTCAGACGTTTTCCCTTCGAATAAACAAACAACACCTTAAAAAACCATTTTTGCCCTTTTGCTTTTTGCAATTTTTTATATTCATATTAATACTTTACTAATTAAAATAAAAACAAAAGAGTTAGGCCCGCATACCCCAACGATTCTCTCTCTCTCTCTATCTCTATCTCTCTCTCTCTCTCTCTCTCTCTCCATTAATATTATACATTCCTAGGCATATCTCATTTTCCCTATCTTCTTCTTCCACTGCTTACCTGCAATTTAAACTACATACATACACACTTAAATCAAAGGGTAAATTACACGAATGGTCTATGTGGTTTAGGGTAATCTATGTGTTTGGTCCCTAATAACTTTTTTTAACTCGGACCATCCCTAATTTATATTTTTGTTGCACGTTTGGTCCTTGTCCGTTCTAAAAAGACTATTTTACCCATAATAACTTATTCATTTATTTATTACTCTTTTACCTTTTTTATATTAAAAATATATTTTAAAAAATAAAAAAAAATAAAAAAAAGTGAAAAGAATCTCTAAAACCCTAAGCAACGCCTCCAACCCTCTTTGGCTCCTTCTACACATCTCGTCTTTTATCATCACCACTCTCCAGCTGCATCACAGATCGGCTTCATCTCCGACGACTCCAACAACATCATACATGGTTGGTGAGAAAAAACTCTATCTCCTTCCCTTCTTCACTCGTGGGACTAACCTATTTCTCTACTCTGCTTCTCTCTCTATATCACTTGAAAGCAGACGACACTTAAAACTCTAATTGCCTCGCTCATGTTTATTCCTAATCTCTCGTCTTCTTCCTTCAAGGTTTTCCCACAAACTTCTTCCTTCATGGCCTCCGACCCCCTCTACTATCGTGCGCCAGCAACATCTATTCCACCAGAGAAGGCAGAGGTGAAGAAGCCACTCGAATCTAGTGAAACAATACAAAGTTAAGCATTGGCCTCTTTCTTTGTCTCGGATTGGGAAGCATGTTATCGAAGCAGAAGCGAGATTTCATGTTTGATTTCAGTTTTGCACCCAAACCGATCCTACAACACTGGTTATGTTTGATTGATTTTAATAAATATTCAATAAACTGAACCTTAAATATGTTTGTCTTTTGATCGCGATCCGTATCTCATGTTCAACATGATGTATGTAGCAAAAGGGATAACTAACAAACTTACCTTATACACCAATTGTACCTTTGAGCTTTTTGGGAATTGAACGTTGATAGAATGGCAGAAAGCCGTACGTTATTGGGGGCAGTGAAATGTTGCTAGACGTTCACCACTGTCTATATCAGTCTAATATGAGTCTTGTGCAAGTGGGAGATTAAAAGGTCTAGTATGCTCAACAGTCATATTAAAGTGATATTGCTAATTAACATATGATACTAATGGGTCACACTAACAACAACTTTATATAATTGATTATTTATTAGAAATTGATTTTAATAAATATTCAATAAAGCTCTTATAATTAAATTGGAAATTATTTATTTCATGGAAATAATAATTTTCATTAGCAAGTAATATAACATATTATTTCATAATATATGAATTAATAATTCATGTACAACATTTTGGAGTAGGTAAGCTTTTTGTTTTTTAGCAAAACACAAAGTT